GCCATGTGAGCTTCATACACAGTTTAGGAAGGGTCAGGACCAGTTAGGATGGGAGGGATTGCCACCCACTAAGTGGTAGCTCCAGTGAAGCAGGGAGGGTGAGGGCAAACCATAGCACAGTTGTGTCTGGAGGATCTGCTTGGAGGTTTTTCCTGCTCAGCCCTGAGACTTGTGAGCTCCAACTGAAGTTCTGGCCAGGAGGCATCACAGCTTCTGCATGGAGCCGGTAGGAGGGCCCGGATCCCTGGCAGTGCTCCAGGCCAGGCCACAGCCATGTTTCATGAGCTGCAGACTTGGCCAACAGCTCAGTAAAACCAGATCCTGCTTGTGATATAGTGAAGAATCCTGTGCATAACTGTAAATGCCTGAAGCCCTCTTTTGTGTCTTGCTTAGATGTCTGAGCAGTCTGCTCTGAAATGTGTGCAGTTATTTCAATGTAATTTGTTCCCTTTTGGAATGCTCCTGAAACTTTTCTGCTTACTCATTGGTTTCCCTCTTGTTCTTACACTCACCACACATGGATTAAAGATCATGAAAAGCTCATGTTTGACCTGAGAAGACATTTATTTTTTAAAAAGTCACCATACAGCTTTAATGAACTTAGAACAATTTCACTTAAATTTCAACTTAGGTTCTTTGGTGTTTGATTAATCAAGATCCCACTGACTTTAGGTGAGTAGAAGGAACCCATGCTCCACCAGTTTTACTCTTGCTATTGCTTGTAAATATGTCATTTAATTCCTCTTTCATTGGGTGCTCTGTGCAGATAAGCACTGTAGATACATGCATGCTATAGCACTGTAGTCAGTTTTGCATCAGCAGCACTCACTATCTGAACACGTTCTGCATGTGAGATGCCATAAATAGCAGATATGGACATCTTATCCCTCACTTTCTGGCTTAGATCAACTTTGCTTGTTTTCTAGTTCATTAAATTCCTTCTCTACATTTGTCTTCACCTTTCTTTGTGGGCCTTATTCTTTCCAAATCTTCACTGTCTGTTGACAAAACAGATCACCCAAGAAAATATGACATGAGAAGAGTGATTGATACTCCTATACCTGCATTTTGTGGCAATAGACAAGACTTGTCAGAGAACGGATGCAGGCCTGTGAAGATCTTGTCAAAAATTATCCCAAAGGAGGGTTGATCTATTGAGGAAGACCACTGGTTTCAGTAGAAATCTAGTCCCAGGTGAACTGTGTGCTATGCTGCTGAGCAGATGTGTACTGTCTGGGACAGCACACTTCCATTTCAATGTCATGTCATCCATATTCTGGTATATCTTCTGAGGTCTTGTTCCCTGCTCTCCTGTTCATTTACCTACCCAGACATCAGAGGCCTCTGATAAAGTGCCAGTGTCCACCCTGCGTTCGTTACAATCCCCTTCAAAGGCCAATTTCTTGAGTGCCAACAGATTTTTTTTAGGTGCTGCCTCATCTTAGGATGGATGTAGAATTTCCTTGGCGCACAACAGGAGTATAGGTAGAAGCAAAGTTAACCTCTTGATGTTGGAGAAGTGGAAGCTGCAATGCTCTATTGCTGTACTTCAAAAATGTTTACCTGGCTACTGTCACACCAGTAGGTCAGACAGGAGCCAGAGTTGCTGTCAGGGCCATACTACCAGTGAAATTAGGCCTGAGGTGCTAAATACAACCTTGAAGATAAAGGTCCTAAAGAAACAGCACTAGAAACCTAGAGAAACCTGGAAACCAAGAAACCCCCCACCAATCTGAGCTATCTCACTTTAATCTCCTCTTGTCTATCAATTTTCAGGAATTCTTTTGATAAAAATGGATTTCATTGAGAAGTGAATGAACTAGTTTTGGAAGCTGCAGAACTGATTTCCATTCTTATAGGGAAAAGAACTCACACAGGATTAATATCATGGAACCATGTGAGAGTGAAGTTTTGAGATCACCATCTTGGACTTCTGAGGGCTGAAGGATAGAGTTCGAAATGGTGGTGATGGCATTGGCACAACTGTAGCACAAGAACTGGTTAGCATCTCCTACCCTCCTGGACTGCTGTGTTTATGTTGCATTTTTTTGTTGGAGACATCTTTATTTTAAGATGGGTTAGAGTCAGTTCCCTTTGGTCTCTCATTCTCTTGAATTTTCTTGGGGCTCATGGCCCTGGCATGGCCTGATTAGGAACAGGGGGATTTCTTAGTTCCCTTTAACTGGACATTGAAGATCTCATTAGCTATCACATCACATACTTTGAAAATCATTCTGGGCCTGAAAAGATATTATAAGGGCTCATTTTACCCTGACCAAACATCTGGAGTTCATTCATGTCCTTTTACTCTCTTTCACAATCAGAACTAGCCCTAACAGAACAGGTTCCTGACAGTGGTAGATCTCATTTAGCTTGTTCATACATACTTTCACTGTATCAAAACTGTTTGCACTTGTCTGACTCCTAGAGTGATACACCTCCCAGAAGCCACCTCATCTTTTCACATCTACATGTGAAAGTCAATAAGGGATCAAAAATCCAAAGCAAAGACCTCCCTATGTAACGTTTTAATCTTCTGCAAAACTGCTTCCCAGGACCCTGTCCACTCCATATCGAGCTTTATTCCAGTGCTGAAGCCTCCAGGCACAATGTTGTGATGAGGAAGAGTTTTATTTTGGTATTTACTTTATTGAGGTGCTTAGTAATGTGCAAGATACTGCATGATGTCTCCAACAGTTATATCACCCACATAACCAGAGGAGAAAGGAATTTCCCACAACTTCAGCTGTGTCTGCTTCTATACTCATTCATCCATCCTTCGGTCCTTCTGTGAAGTCCCTGAAAATGTCCACAACCTCTGAGGCAGGGAGGATCTGAGATAAGTCAGGCTCACACCACCTGCAAGGGTTGCTAGGGCTGGGCTTGGGCTTGTGCATGTTCCTATACACACTGCAGGGTAACCAGAGATCAGTGCTCTAGCACTATACTCCAAACACACTCACACTGTGACTGTGCCCACAAACACATCCCAGAGACTTTCAGTTGCTGTAAGTAATCTCTCTTTTTTTTTTTTTTCACTAAGTGACCAGGCACCATCTTACAACCATCTATACAGTTTTAAGGCATCGTCACCTTCTCCACCCTTCCCCCCATCATTTCCATGCAGATCCTTCTGAGTGTGAAGACTGAACAAACTGATGATAATTTTTCTAAGGATCTTTTAATTATTCTTTGTTTGTTTTCCAGTCCTGTAACAATTACTGACCGTGTAAAACCAGTTTGTTTGCCTGAAACCAATCGGATGGTAGAAAGAAATGCAGTATGTTTCCTGACTGCCTGGGGCAAAACAAGAGGTAAAGCATATTTAATGTGTTTGAAAACTTAAGAAGGTTTTCAAATCCTATCCCAAATATGTGCACTCATAGAACTTGAAAAACACATTTTACTTAAGATTTAACTAAGTCAGGTGTCACTAGGCAACATTATTCTTTTTATTTCTTTCTCTCAGAGCTTGATTTTTCCCCCTCATTGCTCACATAACCTGAATTCATTAAACAAGATAAAAGAGAGAGGAAAATTAGACTTGAGACTTTACAACCTTTTATGTCTGTCTATTTTCATCTTTCTTCAGCTTAGGTATACACTATATTTGCACAAATAAGGACAATACTCAAATAATGCCCTTGCCTTTAATTTTGACCTTGATATGCACAATTTTTTAACCTGTGAATGAAACTTGCACTTGCCTTCCTGTAGTTTAAACATTGCTGTCTGCATAGACTTCTGCAGGGATGTACATTCACTCCAGACAGATAGGATATATGGGCGAGCACTACCCTTAAGACCTTATATCTGAGATAAGATAGCAAACCAGAAACCATGGTGCCTTTGAGTCAGAGCTTGCTCAGATCCAGCCTCCTTTGAGGCACAGGCAAAATGAGTTCAAGCTGAAGGTTTTTAACGTCAGTAAACTCCTTGCCTGAATTTCGTTCACAGTCTAGCATTAAAAACCAACCTATGTGGTCTCCTGCCGCCCACCTCTCACTCTACCCGTACCAAGGGCTGAGAATACCCAGCTCTCTTTGACCGGCTGTTGCTGCAGCAGGAGGCAATCCCACATCCCCGCGGCTTCCAGCAGCGATGCTGGCATCTGCCCTCGTTCAGTCCCAGCTCCCACATACACATTTGGCCTCGCCGAGCTACAAGCAAGGGATGCCCTTCCCACCCCCTTTGCCAGACAGCACCTTATTAATACTCCACCTGTAAAATGAAGCCAATGGATTCCTCTTTGTGTGCACATCCACAGAATTAAAAAACAAAAATAAAATTAACAGAACGTGCCCCTGTCTCTGAGTTTCACTGCAAAAAACCTTCCACATAAATTGGAGTACCTTTTTCCCCTTCTTGTGTCATTTAGCTACCACATTGCTGCAATGAAAATAATGCTTAAGAATAATAAGTCTACTATTAGTGTAACTCATCAACATTATCAAGAAACACTTTTCTCCAGCATAGACAGTTTTTTGCCTTTCTTCTCACCTTTCTTCCTTTCTTACCTTGTCTTTTTTTCTTTTTTTGTTCAGCTTGCCACACGGTGGCAGTTGCTTCCTATGTTCTAGTGATCAAAGCCACAAAAAAATGGTACAGGGGAGATTTCTTCTGGAAGTGCATTAGGATGGAAAACAACAACAGGCCATTGTTGCATTTAGGCAGTGGGAAAGAGGGTCCTGCCAAGTCATGCAACTAGTTCATAAAATCGGCAGGGGAAGGGGAGCAGAGCCAGACCCCCACATCTAAATAAACTGTGTTTTGGGAAAATTAAAACTTGGCTTCAGGAAAATCCTCCTTGTCTGGAAAACACTATTGTTAGGCTTAAAACAGTTCAGATTAATGTAAAGTAAATCCAGGCTAACATTCCCCCCCCCGAAACAAACCATTGCCACTACACCATAATGAAAGCCCACAAAATGACACAATGGCTCAGAATACAAAGCATCTGGGTTTATTTATTTTGTAACACTTTGCAAAGAAGAATAACCTCTGCTTGTTGAGGTCTGATCCAAGTGCAAAAATGTTGAAAGATTTAATAAGGTCTTTCAAAGAGCTCCGCAACTATAGTAGAGCTGGGGATGGCTCCCAGTCCTTTCATTACTGAGGCTTCACTGAAGCACTTGCCCAGGCTACTGTTTCTAACTGTTATGTTTTCTTGGTTGTTCATAAAGGTACTGATACAGACAACAGATTAAAAGAGACTGAATTCCCTGTGCTTGAAAATAGAATATGTAATCAGCCTGAATTTCTGAATGGAAGTGTCAAAAATCATGAGTTTTGTGGTGGATTTACTTTTGGAAGCATAGGTAACTGCAAGGTAAGAATATTCTAGCTTTGAGTGTGAGCAGATCAAATGACAATTTGTACTTTCGAGGCTCAGAAATAGCTTCAGCAATTCAAGGCTTCCACGTGAAGCAGCAGAACTGAGGTATACATAGCATTTTTTCTTCACTCACACAGTCAACCAGAATAGCAGGGGAGTTGTGTGGGGTAATTTCACCTTCCTTTCAGAACTGCGTGCTGACATGTCCTACTTATAGTAGCCTAGTGTTATGAATACCCCACCCCACCTGAAATAAAGCCTGTGATATGCACTACCTGGACTTCCCTTTGTTCCTAGAGACAAAGGGGAAACTAGTGACTGTTTCTGGTGCAGTCTGGAGTTGTACCACACCTTTATTTAAGCCTTTGATTAAATAACTCTTGAAGTGCTTCCAGTTTTCTAATTTTTACAAGTATATTAAAAGACTGTTAAAATGTGGTTTTCTTAATGGAAGGTATCGTGTTGGGAGCTTTTCAATAAACAGCTGGTGGCTGCTTGGTGACAGAGTCAGAAAGCAAATGCTGGTCTGTCTGAGCAGGTGGTCAAGACTGCCGCTGCAAATGATGTCTTTGAGAGTGTGGACAGAGCATTCATTGACAGGCACACAAATCCCTGGATATAGGTATATTCATCTCCTTTCATGCCTGGATTTTAAGAAATAGCATTATAACAATTATAGTCATTTTGTCCCAGAGTAGGTCAGAGGATGTGGGAAAGTGAGAAACTTCCCTTTTTTGTATAATTGACTTCACAGTGATTTGGGGATGTTCCTACATCCATGATTGGCAGTTTGGTCTCTCTTCTTCAGACCGGAGGAATTGCCTGGATGCTTGGAAACAACTTTTTTCCCCTCCACTTTTTTACTCCAGCAGGACTAATAAACACTCTCCCTTTTTCTACAGCCCTTGCTTCAGTCATATTTTGAGGCCTTCAGAGTTATCACAATATTATTCCTGCCAGTATTTTGCTGTTTGCATGTCTCCATCACTAGAGGAGTCACCTTATTGTCTCTTCTCCTCCCTAGGCTGAAGTTGGAGGACCTCTGGTCTGCCAAGATAAGGACAGATTTGTCCAATATGGAGTCACCTCTTGGGGACTGGACTGTACCCAGCCATCAAAGCCAGTTTTTGTCCGAATTCCTAGTTTTGTTTCTTGGATCAAAAATGCAATGGTTGCCCACTGAATCTGGATGCAGGCTAGCTTTTCTGGAAAGCAGTCCCTGTGCCACAAACAGCATTCTAAATGTGGTTTTAAAATTGTAATAATTCATAAGAATCTTAAATAAATATCATTGCTGGCTGAGCGTAAGGAGTTATTGCAAAGCAATAGCCAAATTGACCAAATAGTACTGTCAGTGCGTCTGTGTTGTGCCCAGGTAAGTCAACCATGTTGCATGTGGGAGCAGTGGTAAGGTTCCTACTTCACCCCTCATATCTGAAATGTGCTCCAACTCATGAAAGTGGCTTCCTCTTTGTTCAAACACCTGCCTTTCTCCTCTGTACACACAAGCAGCTGGCCTATCTGTGTGTACAAGGTCTTCCCTGTGCAAGAAACTTTATCCCAAATCAGGCCTGTCCCTGTACCCATCACTGGCATCTGCTTCCCTCTCTGTCGCTGCTCCAGGAATAAGAAAGTAGCAACCAAACCCAGCCACTGCCTTGGGTAGTAAGAAAAGCCCAAGCTAGACTGTGCCTGTGCTGCCAGGAGCTGGATGAAGGCCTGGTGGGGTTGCTTCTTCGTGGGGCTAATTCCTCCCACTCTCACCACCCAAGCAGGGCTTTGTGCTGTGCAACCATTTAACTTTTCTAGGTTAGATGTTTGCGTGGAAAAAACAACTATCCACTCCAGCGGGCAAAGCGGTGAGTGGGATGGCATATGGTACAGTTAACACGTTTGTGCACAGAAACCCTGCTCTCACTTGTGACACCAAGAGTTCAGGCCTGACATAGACTCCAGGAATTAAAATAAACTGCTCTTTCAGTTTATTTCCAGAAGAGGAGAGGATGTCTCAGAGGGCTGCACAAGTGAAGCTGGGTGCCAGGGCACTGGTGCTTGCCTTACCAGGCTCGGCAGCTTGTCCTCCTGCACGCTCTGCGGCAGGGAGGTGGAGAAACAAAGGGCACCCCAGGTCAGTCAAGCCTCCCAGAGCCATGGAACCTGGCCTGGTTGCACCCAGAGCAATGGCAAAGGACTTGCTATTGAAGCTGTCAGGAAAGGCTGGGTTAGAGAAAGGCTCGTCAAGCAGTACTGCAGTGACCAAAGGAAATTGCTGAGTGGAACATGTTCCAGCAGCATCAGAAATCAACAGAAACCCACCTGTCCCACTGACTCCAAATCACTTGCCAATTTTCTGTATATCACTTAAAGGCCACTTCCAAACAGTAAATGCATTGACCTAATAGCAGAAGAAATGTACACCTCCGAGGGACCTGTAATCTGAACAATGATTTCTGTATTTTTTTAGTCTTCCAGTTGTATGCCTGATTCAAAATATATTATAAATCTGTATCTAGTATTTAGGTACTATTACTATTGCTATAAAGAATTCTACAGAGATCAGGCTCTATAAACTCATTTTGGGATTTTTAAAAAAGCTAGAGTGAAAAAAAAATAATCTGCAGACTCTCTACTCACTCCTTGATCTTCTCTATCAATTCTTTATGGTTTCCATTATGACCCACCCATCAATTTCATTTGCTCATCATGATACTGTTAGAATAGCTGTTCTTTAACCCCATCTTTCTTGACAGCATCTTTTTCTTGGATTCCTTCCAGATCTTGAATATTTTCCCCCTCTCTGAGCTCCTGTTCGCCTTCCACCTGGTCTGCCCTTGGTTGTGTACCCCCCACGGCAGCCATAAGAACAGACCATCTTTTTAAAGGTCGCGGCCCTTAGCGTGAAGTTTCTCACACTCTCACAGATCTCTGTGCTCTGACCCAGAGGAGCTGGAGATGGTGGTGAGCCTTTTCCACTTTTTCCTGTGCAATCAGCTGAACACGTAACAGGCTGTTACAGGGAAGCATGCTTCAGGCTGCAACCACTTCTGCAGCCTGTTGTTACCATTCACCTCACTTAATCAACCTGTGAGATAGGGTTGGAGAAAAACCTGAAGCGCGAACCCAGAAACAGCTCCTTCTGCTCCATCACCAATATAACGCACTCTCGAGTTGCTCAAGTTTTCTGCTCAAGTATAGCACTCAGTGCATGTCTCCGTAGTTCTTCTGTGGTAATACGGCCCCAAAGGCTTTTGTTGAGTTGTATGCTCAGTAAACTTGGATACTTTCAGAACCTGTTGAGCATAATGTTTTCTGGAGCACATGAAAGGCTTGCTGCCATCTGGCACTTGCTTTCTATTCCCCATGTACTGTTGTTTTTCTAAGTTCTGCCAGTAGTGCTGTTCCTTCAAAAAACATTGGCACAAATTCTCTGTAATAACTGGCCAGGCCTGGAAATTGTTCCTGTCTCTCTTGGTGCCTGTAAGCCATTCTCCAGTTCCTACAGGCTTTGCCTAATGGAAATTTCAGCTATTTGATGCTGTCTTTTGCTAGTAGATGCTGAATTGTGCCTGCTGGAGGATCTGCCAACATAGGCGATACCATTACCTGCAGAGGTTTTGTACAGTCTGCCTGTAATTCACAGATCGCAGTAGCACAGACGTGCGCAGCTGCTCACTCCTCATGGAACCCGACAACTCCGCACGCTTGTCACTGAAATGCTGCTGCTGTTTTGTGTAAACCAAAGTTCTTGATTTCAAGATTTAAAAAAGGCCATTCTCCCTGGACACTCTTGTCAGAGTACCTCTCAATACTATTTGGTTAGATTTGGGGAGACTGTCAATGTAGCTCTCTGTGGACACTCTAATAAATATGACAGTTTTCATGTCACTATGTATCACATTTGGCAATTGGCTTTCTTTCCCAGAAATCCATGTGATTCATTAGCAGTCCATCCTCTTGCTACTGGATGTTTTCAGGGGCTGAAGACTCTCTTTGGCCTTCACTTTACAACATTCTCTGAATCTTCTTTGACTTGATTCTGTAATTATTTGAGTCTTTTCTGGGTGTCATTTTGTGACTTAGGGCTGTGGGGTTTTTAGCTTTTATGAGAATACAATCTGGAAATCCTGCATTATTTTCTCCACCTGAGAAAATTACTGTGGTTTTAGCTGTTCTCTTGCAGCATGGGAATTCTTAATTTACTATCAGTCATCTGTCCTGGTTTTGGCACATAGTGATGCACTGCTTTTGGCAAGGCTTCTTGCATTTTTCAGTCTTTTGGTGTGTCTAAATAATAAATCTATTTTTATATTTACAGTATAACTCATTACTACTAGGACTGTGTCAATACATTTTCATAGAAGTTAGGAACTTGGACCCCAATGCTGATAATAACACCAGCCCTTTGTCGTCGAATGGCACCCTGCATCCTTGGCACACAAGTACCATCCTCTTTGTTTATCCGTGCTTCTTGGGTCTGCTTTGGTGCACCATATGTTCTTACTCTGTCACACTTGCAAATGTACCACTGGATTTTTTTTTGTTTTCCTGTACCTTAAGCCTGTAGACAACTGCAGCACTTCAAATCTTTCTGAGTGCTTGAAGTGCATTTTCTTCAAGAAGCTATCTTATACAACATGTCACAAGACTAATGGACAGTTTGTAACTAGGGACGGTGTTGCAGACTTTGAGAACAAGTTTGGAAAAAAATTTATGAAGATAACTCCAGTTGCTCACAGCATCATCTGCTTACGTTTCTACCCCACTTTCATCCACTTCCATCTCGTTGTTTGTGATGAATCTTGTATTTCTACAATTTCTTTGGCAAAAATAGAACATAACATGCTACAGTCTTTTGGAGACATGGCATATGTAAATGGCATATCTTTCAGAAATTTACTCTGAATTAAAATATAATAGGAGTTAATTATAAAGCTGATCAGCAAATTTTCAATGATTCTAATGCAAAATTTCCTGATAATAGCTCAGGAGTTTACGTAAGAGTCAGGGGGAAAAACAATAAACAAACAACTTTTCCAATGCTGTCTCCAGCAAGTTCAAGCTGTGGAATCTAATGGCAAGGTCTTTTTGTGCAGGGACATAAAAATTATTAAAGTATAAAGAATTTTTATGCAACATCTGTTAAACTGGAACCATCATAAACACTTTATAAACTGCTTGTAAACAAAGAAGATGTTATTGCATTTTATACTCACACACACAAACACACACACATGTGTGAGCACACACACACACACACATGAAACTTGCTCATTTTTCTAGCCAAAATATTAAATTAAATCTGAAGGTGCTATTCTCACCTCACTGAAATACTTGTGACAATCTCATTGATTCAAGCAGTTTGAACTGATCCCATTCCACATAGCCTTGAGTGCAATATACAGCATCATTTGATGCTTTGCCCTTTTAGCAGTTCATTTCAATTAGATTAAACTAGCTAGAACATCCTTCCTTTATGCAAGTTAATGAGTCAAGAACAAGCATAGAAATAAACCTACATGTAAGTGACAAGTAGAAACTGCACTGGCAATTTCAATGCACACTTCATGAGTGAAATGGAGGTGGCTTGCGCCTCATTTCTGAAGCTGTCATAGAAGCAAGGAGCTATAAACATTCATCCTATTTCAGTGACATTTCTAGACAGCCAATTTTATCACCAGTTCTCAAATGCTGGAACCATCAGTAAACAATACACTGCTGCAGGGATCATTGTATATAATTGTCTAAGTGTGTAGAAAAATACCAGAGCAACACCTTATAAATAGCAGGTATTTGCTAGGGTCTTTGGAGGCACTTGCACAATTGTTAGTTAAGTACAAAATCTCTTCACCACGTTACCAAATGTTTTCCACACGCTCTCTCCTCTGCTTTTCTAAAACCAGAGGTGGAATAGTAGTTACGCTTCTTTCCTTCATTTTCTCTTCCACATTCTGCTGTCAAATAGCCTGCACCCTCATCCAAGGACTCCCCAGTAACTCCAACCATTTTGAAGAGAATGGTCAAAGGGTTAAGCTGCACCAGGAAGGACTGATAAGAGTTCAACAACCCTCCCTCTGCATGGGCTCCACAACAGCAGTCACAGCTGAGTCCTGTGATTTGGGGCAGCGGAGACAGGAACTACTTGCCTGCTAAGCCCAAAAAAGTGTAGCCATGACCTGCTGGGCA